GCCGTGTTGCCCAGCCCAGGCAGCGTTTCTGTCGCCAGGGAAACTCCCCCGCCGGCATCAACAATCTGGGGAGGCCTGGTGGTGTGTAAGACTTGGCCTGCTGCGAGGCCCAGGAAGTAGCTGCGCCACCTAAGTGGTCACATAGGTACTGCAGTAATAGGGTATTCGGCAGGGGGGAGGGGGGCGGGTATATACATATATAATGAGTGAGATGTGCACCATCAAGGGGATGGTCATGCTGGAGACTCAGACTTGTAGGGGGAGGGGGAAATGGGCATTTATTGAAACCTTAAAATCTGTACCCCCATAATATGCCGAAATAAAATAAATAAATAAATAAATAATAGAACTCAGGAAAATCAGCAAGAAAAAAAAATCAAACAACCCTATAAAAGAAGGACATGAACAGAAACTTTTCCAAAGAAGACAGAATAATGGCCAGCAAACATGGAGAAATGCTCACTATCTCTAATCATGAGGGAAATGCAAATCAAAACTATAATGAAATATCACTTATCTCCAGTGAGAATGGCCTTTATCAAAAACTCTCAAAACAATAAATGTTGGCATGGATGCAGGGATATAGGAACACTCATACACTGCTGGCAGGACTGCACACTAGTATAACCTAGCAATATGGAGATATATTAAAGAGATGCCAGTAGATCTACCATTTGATCCAGCAATCCCTTTACTGGGCATCTACCCAAAAGAACAAAAGACTTTCTATAAAAAAGATATTTGCACTAGAATGTTTATAGCAGCACAATTCATAACTGCAAAGATGAGGAAACAACCCAAGTGCCCATCAATACATGAGTGGATCAATAAAATGTGGTATATGTATACCATGGAGTACTATTCAGCTATAAGAAACAACGGTGATATAGCACCTATTGTATTTTCCTGGATAGTTGGAACCTGTTCTATGAAGTGAAGTATCCCAAGAATGGAAAAATAAGCACTACATGTACTTACTAGCAAATTGGTTTCACCGAACAACACCTAAGTGCAGATATAGGAATGACATTTATCCAGTGTCCAGCCGATGGGATTGGGGAGGATGGGATGGGTATATACATACATAATGAGTGTGATCCGCACCATCTGGAGGATGAACATGCTTGAAGCTCTGACTCTGTGGAGGAAGGCAGGGCAGGGCAACATACATAACCTAAACACTTGCACCCCCATAATATGCTGAAATAAAAAATAAAATATATCACAAAGTTGTCCTAAAAGTAGGCAATCCTCCAAGGTCCCATTCAGAGCACACTGTGGGTAGCGGGTGAGACAGAAGTGGCTGCAGGACTTCCCTGGATCCCAACACTGTCACCGTAGAGGCTGCACAGGATCCAGGGGCTACAGGCATAGGGCTGTCTCAGGTGGGGACAGTGTCAGAGAAGACCCCTCCATAAATCTGGCCAGAGCACATGACCCTGAAAACAAGCCTGAGAGAGAAGTAAACTGCTAAGCAGAAAGGGATAGGAAATGAATTTGCCTAATTTATGTATTTATAGCTACCTTTTATGTGCCTCCTAGAAAGTGCCTGAGGAATGAATGTGAATGGAACTTGACAGAGGAATAGAAAACGGTTTAGGAATCTGCAACAGTAGGCCCAAGATAAAGAGACCAGAGCACAGAGAAGATGCTGAAAAGGCAGTATGAGTAAGACCTTGTGACTGATGTGGATGGTGGCAGCAGTGGAGGTGGGGGTGGTGGAGGAGAGGAGGAAGCTGAGAAGCAGGGGAGAGAATGACCTGTTTGTATCTTGCTTGGATGTTGGTTGGAGGATGCTACCTACAATTTACAAGGAGAACACTGAAGAAAGAAACCAGTTTGGGGAGAAAAGATAAATTTAATCTTTTACATGCTAAAGTGAGAAACCTATGTGACATGCAGAAAGCAATGTCTAGACAAAAACAAGTTAATAATTGAAAGCCAGATCTGTGCTGGAGGAAAACATGCAAAAGACATCCACTGAGGGATGACAGTTGAAACTATGAGAGTAGGTAGACTCTCTTAGACTAAGGATTATCTTGGGTAATAGCAATTGACCCCTAAGAAGCTGGTAAAGACTCTCCTGTAGAAAAAAAAATACACACATACATATATGAGTAAAATATTTTACAAAATTTAGGGGATTTACATACATAAGGAGAAGAATTCCTGGTTAATTCTAGATCCTGAAAAACCTCAGCATTCAAAAGGGGGATCAAGATTTCTATGATCCAAATGGGGAACTAATGTTTTTTTAAAGAAATTCCAAAAAGTATGGCAGAGATCTGATTAGGTAATGGCTTCTAAAATGACCCCTGGGTTTGGCAGATAGAAAGTATTCAGAACCTTGAGCAACAATTTCAGTAGACTGATTGAGGTGGACAGTAGATTAAAAAGTGCCCAAGAGTGACCAAGAGGTGAAGAAGGAGAAATGTTGTCTCTTCTTTCAAGATGTCTGGTCAAAAAGAAGAAAAGATTATTTATATGGGATGCAGAACTTGACACAGTTTATGGACATCAAAATATGGAAATGTAACACCTTACAAAAGATAAGGGACACTCCAGAGAAATACTTTGCTATTGGCTCCAATTCCTACCCCACATTCTACCAGAGTCTGGGTGGCTTGGAGAGTGACAGGACAGCACTCTTCCAGGGGAAGAGGTGGGCAGGGCGAGGGGCTCGGGAGGAGGAAGGTTTCCACCTCAGGCTCACAGGCTCCCTGCCAGGCTGTAGTGGAGGATCCAGCGCAAACCCCCAAACACAGGGACTTCGAGCTGCTGGATTGGCCTGTGCTCACAGTGCGGGCTCTCAGGAGGACAGTCTCCCCTGACACTGGATCCTCACTCTCCATGTCAGGTGTCACTTGACCAAGCCTTCCCTCTGCTTGGGCTGAGCAGGAGACACTGTCCAGAGTGTCCACAGTCTGTCCCCAGAATACAGGAAGCTCTGAGGGAGCAGAAGTGACTGTTCCCTTCTGTTCGTGTGTGCTCCTCAACACAGCACTTGGGAGAACACCAAGTGGGGATTTCACAGACAAATCCTCCTTTGAGTTTCTCAATAAAGGAAACGTTAGAATTCACTTATCACTTTTAAAAATGGGAAAAGAAACACATTTCTATTCATGAAAATGGATAGTCACGTTATCCTTGGAGAATATTCTTAGAGGACAGGAGGCAGAGAGGCTAGGCGCACCCCTCATTATTTTCCTTTTGTTCCCAGCGCGAGGGCAGATTGAAGAGGAGGAGGAACGGCACGACCCTGAGAGGTAAGGTTCTGTCTCATCCCTCAGCTCTCCAGGGGAGCCTCCTGTTCCTCCCATGGGGCCCCAGGTCCATGATCTCAAGGCTGTCAGGTGCTGAGCACAGTGTCTGGGAAAGCAGAGCTCAGTGGAGGTTCACAGGAAGGCAGTGGGACCTGAGACACTTCTCAGAGTCCCGCTCCGCTGACCTGTGGGCATGACGCAGGGATGGGCCTGGGCCATGGGTCTCCCCAGTAGGCGGCCATGGGAGACGTCCAGGAAGGACTCCCGGTGGGTCTGGAATCAGCACTTCTGTCCCCTGACTCTGCATAAGAGCCCTGACTCCCTGGGTGCTCGGGTTGCTCTGAGGGAACCACTGACTTCTGGGCTTCACCTGGTGCTTTTGACCATCATGTGGGAAAATGGGTGGGACAGTACTTTCTAGATGAGACTACAGACACATGTGACTCTTGTTAATATTACTGTTGACCATTTGACCACGTCTGCTGATGTTGGGGCTGCCACGGTTTTACAGGCCCAGGGTCTCCCATAAAGGGAGCCCCATGTGATCCTCTCCTTCTACCTTTCTCACATATCACCTTCTCTCCTGGTTCCCAGATCGGAGAATGACCCCGAGAGAGGCCTCAGAGTGATGGAGGATGCTTTCTTCCATGAAAAGATGATGGATTTCTCTCTTTGTTCCCGGGCCCTGTTGAAAGCATGTTCTGTGCATTTCAGGGATTCAGTGCCCCCTGCCAAGGCCATGGGAGGGGTCGCCATGGAAACAGGACTGTGAGTGAAGGGCTTTGGGAGGCTACACAGTGGGTTGTGAAGTCAGGGGAGGGGACAGCAGTCTTCAGGAGGCCCCACCCCACTAGACCTGCAGGCTCCCCTTCCCTGGCCATAGTCCTGGCTGCAGCTTTGTACCTCCTGTCGTCTGCAGCCCCCTGGGACAGTGCGATACCGATATCATCTTCCACCTACATCACCCGGCACACCCACACCCCCTCTGTGAGCTCTGCCGCAAAATAGCACGAAAAGCCAAACCATCCCTGCCCAGGGAATCTCTCCATGCTGCTGCTCCCTCTGCGGCCCCTTTGGCCTCCAGCATGACCTCGCTCTCAGAAAGCCCTCCAGGACACCTGCCTCCAGCCCCTCCGCCTGACCCTTCCGCACCTGAGCCACTTGCTGTTCTCCATCCCCCACGTCACACTCCACAAGCACGGCCTCTTCTCCAACCAGAGGCCACTTTCTCGTGAAAGACCATTCTGTCATTTGGCCCCAGCCTTTCCCGAGACATCGACCCCTTTCCCCTTTCATCCCCGGCCATGCATCCCACTCACGCCTGTGCACGTCACCACGCACCGCCAGCCCCGTCTGCTCCACCACCGCCAGACGGCACTTTAGCCGTGACTCCACCTAAACCGGCTCCCGCCCTTCAGAACCTTGCTCTGGAGATGTTCTCTCCTGGTAGCGCTCGTGACTGTCCCCTTGTGTGCCTACAAAGAGAGGCACTGACCCTGCAAAGCTGACAGTGTCAGCATTCTCCTGGTGGCAGCCTCATGCCCAGGACTTGTTCCCCTCCAACTGGGCACCCGGTGATTTCAATTAAGAGCTTCTCGCTCTCCACTCTTCTGGGACATCATTTGCAGGAGACCCTGTAGCCAGCCTCGTAGTGTCTGCTCACCTCTCCCTGCCCAACTCTGCCCTGCTGGCTCTCTGGGAGAGACTAGTTAGCAATTGGGTGCAGTTTCTGATGTGTAAGCGAAAGGAACACAAAGTGGGGTCTATTCCAAGCAGTTCAGACCAGGCAACCGTCTCAATTCTTAAAGGACTATGTGGCCACAGCTGCCATTCAGCAGGATGTGGCAGTTTCCCTTCATCACCAGAGACACGAAGGCAAAGCAGAGGAGCAGCACATGCACCAAGAGCCCCTGAATTATGAGACCTTGGAGGACGACCTGCAGCAAAGATATCTCCAGCTCTTCTAGCACCTGCTGTCTCTGCATGGCGAGTCCCTGCGCTCTGTTGTACTTCTCCAAGGCGGCTATTCCTCCAAATTTGTGTTCCTCAGTCAATCTCAAGTTCATTCATAGCTGAAGGATCCCCTGCACTTAACCGTCTCCAACTGTTGTGCCTGCCCCAAACCCTGCCCCCATCTCAGTCCCTAACCCTCACCCAGGTCCGGCTCAGGCCCCATTTCAATCCACACTCCCGATCTCACCACCCGGGCCTCTATGACCGATTCGGCCTATGAGGTGAGTTTGCACAAACCCCAGAATGAGGCCTGGTGTCTTGTGACATCTGACATTCCCGACCTGCAAGCAAACGTGCCCCAGAAAGATCCGGAAACGGTTGGGGTTTATGCTCCACAATCCAGAAATTTCCGGAAGACTTTTGTCCTCCAGGTCCCTGCCTCACATGGCTCAGCCAGTCCTCCAAGGTCTACCTTCCAATTCTCCCAGCACAGAGCTTCAGAATAAAGCCGGACTCCACCATCAACTGAGGCTCATCCCACACGGGTGGGGCTCATCCAACACCTGCTGCATCCATAGGTCTCTGTCACTGTTTAGTCCTCGGAGAGAAACTCCTGAGACATCTGTGTCCATGTGCCATCGTCCCATCTCCTGGATTTCTTTCATTCAAGTCACAGCAGAAAAGTCCTAGAGTATTTGGTATTCAGCCCATCTGGAAGGTTCCGAGAGGCAGGCTCAGAAATGCCTCCACTTAAGAAGGATGCGAGGAATGATCAGGAACGAAGCCTGAAGAACGGCCTAAAATATCATCTGGGAAGAAGACATTCAGGAGGTGGGATGTCCATGTCCCCTAGAAGAAGCTCTTAAAGCTTTTCCTGGAGAAAAAGTCAGAACAACACAATCAGCTCCCAGCCTGCATCATCCCCTCCCTGCCTCATCCCCTGCGGGAAAAGGGGCACAGGGAGAACTAAGACCGTCTCCCTCTGGCACCAACTGTGACCTTCCAGAGAAGGTCTGGACAGCTGAGGACAGCAGACAGACTGGCCTGCAGCCCCCTCAGGGCAGCACAGACGAGACGTTAGAGGAGTCCCCTGGGAGCGCATCTTCCCCAGCCACACCAGCGGAGGGACAGCCTCCTGCTCAACCACGCTTGAGAAATCGAATGCTCCCACTGTGGCAGTGGCTTCTTAAGCCCAGAAGAAAACGCAAGGGGCAAAAGAATTCTGTGGAGGAGGGCAGCTCCCTGTCGTCTCAGGAGATTTCCTCAACTGCCCTCCTCGGGGGGCCTCAGCACCTCCCAGCTCCCCCTCCAGGGCTCAGGTAGTCCACAGTCCTCCACCCACACCTTCCCATCATCAGAACACACGAAGATTTAGACTTTTCCCCTGCATTTGCTGAGGGGGAAATCACTCCCCAAAAACTTCATCATGGTTCTTTGAATAAATGCTCTGCAAGAGTGATGTCTGTTGCCTGTGCTGTGTTGGGGGCACAAGTTTGGAGTCACCTAGACCTCGTGCTTTGTAGGAACAGGCAGGAGTTAGTTCAGCACTTCCTCATGGCCTAGTTTGACTTCCAAAAGCTGACCAGTCCCCTGGAGCTCTTGTGGAGGAATGGCTACCATGTGGCCCCACACCCGTTCCCACCTGATCAAGTTTGGGGAGATGGGCTCTGTGCCCTTCCTCGTAGCTTTGCCTCGTGACAGTGTGTTACAGCTCACAGCTTCCTCCTCTTTGCTCTTTCACAGCCTTTGGAGCTTTAAAGACGATAGATCTTCCATAGCTGACAACAAGGTTAGATAGGTACACATTTCAGAACATAGTCGCTGGATCATTTCTAAGAAACAGCTGTCGGTGGCCAGAGGATGACATGCGTGGGTGCAGGTTGGGGGTGTCACTGCTGCTGTGGGGACTGGGCTGGGTGGGGGAGGGCTGAGGAACAGGGCAGACGCTGCCAAGAACCTGTCCCATGGGGCTGGCTCAGGTGTTGGGGAAGCACACGTGGACCCTGATGCTGTGGTGTCCTTCCTTCAAGTCACCGTGGGAAGTGGGCACTACCCTACACACATCTTCAGGTTGCCAGGATTGATTGCATTTGCAGATCACCCACTTTTCAGTGGCAGCAATGTCGTCAGCCAGACACTGACCTCCCAGGGTAAAATAAAGCTGACATAAGGAAAGCATGCCTCACATAAGTGGAAAAGTAAGGAGAAAAAAATGAAGATAGGAAAGAATGTCCTTGCTGGTGGAGCAAAGGTGTGTCTGCCCTTGTCGTGCCCCTGTCCTGCTCCCCCTTCCCAGTCTGATCCAGGTGCCACTTCCGTGAGGCTCATCAGGGCGCTGCACAGCTCAGTCATGCCCTTTGGCAGAAGCGTACACGGGGCTGTACTCTGGGCACCAAAGCAACATCTGCAAGGCTGATGTCGGACTCTGTAGCCACCCCTTTAGGGAAGGTGACCTCAGTGCCCTCCTTCCATATATGCTTGGTGATGGCTTGCAAGATCTGCCCTTAGTATGCACAGTTCACCCATCAGGATGGAGGGGCCACGTGTGATCTTCACGGGCCTGGGGGAGCCATGATAGCTATGCCCCGGAACACCTGCCCCTCATGCTCCACCGGTGTGCCCTGGACTGTGCACAGGGTTACGGATATTTGGGGGCTCCCCATGGACCTTTGCAGAATGCTCCTTTTGGCCACCACTGGCCACTCTTCAAATAGAGGTCTGGAGAGAAGGCAACTCCATTGGTACAGACAGGGACTGGACTCAACAATGGTGTGAGTTTCCTGCAGGGAAACTCTGAGATAGCGTTTCCAGAAAAACAATTTGTGAATGCTGGGTGTCAAAACACAAACAAACAACAGATGTGCACTATGCCCCCCTGACTCTGCCTCTATATCTTAGAGCTATGCTATTGACCCTCAGTGTCTGAAGCCCAGGGTTGCTGAAGGAATACAGAGTCTCGGGAGGCCCTGGGAAGGACGAAAGGCAAGATGGGTCCAGGGGGAGGAATTGTAGAGGTGGAGAATCAGTGGAGGACCCGACATCCACGCAGACAGATCAGCCAATAACCCGGCCTCTCACTTCCTCCACCTCTCACCTTCGTGTCCTCTACCTGCATTCCAGCTCAGCTACTGCCACTCCTGACACTGATCATCAGGAGCCCGGCTCACACGGTGACAGCACAGCTCCACCTCCACCTTCACCTCCTCCCTCTCTCTCCCAGTGGGGCCCTCAGTTTCTCATAGTTGCACTTCCTGAAATGTCTCCCAGGGAGAGATCAAATACAGTCCTGAGGGACAGGCCCACCGCTGCCAGCTCTCCTTCCTGCCCCACCCCCTCCTCAGGAGGCACATCTTCTGTTTTTAAAAGCTTTTGACTACAAACATGTATAAACATACACAAGAGCAGAGAAAAAAAAATATCCCCCAACGTATCACCATTCAGCCTTCACAACTACCAGGCACGATGAACCCATCCTTTACACAAGAATGAAAGCGTAAAAGTCCATCAAACATCTTCCAACTATCCTTTCGAAAACCTGCTACGTGCCCTGTGTCAATGCTCCCATGTTTTTGGTACTTGCCACACTCACCCACAGCACACGGACGCAGCCTCGGTGACCAAAACACACTGAGCTTTACTGGCTTTGGCGAGGGCTCTGGTCTGCCTTGTGTCAGCCCTGAGGAGCCGCCTGCTCCCCCTCCCCGCTCCCTGCAAGCTGCGATCTGCACACACACACTCAGCACAACGTTGCGGTCCTTGACTACACGGTAAGTGTAGTTACATGAAAGTAATACAGAGGTAGACAACTTTCCATGTTGATAAGTACTTAATATTGCCATATAAATGTATTCAAGCATTTAGAGGAATACAATTTTTTCTGTCTCACATTTAAAAGGAATTACTGTGTTTCCAGTTAAATACAATATTTCACATGTACTCGTCTATCTCCTGTCCTTCCCTACATGCCATTAAAACTAAAGGATCATGTGAAAAGATGCTCAACCATCATTGATCATCAGGGATACATTAACACTATTCAAAACCACTATGAGTCATCAAATTGGTACTGATTGATTAACACTATGATACTCAAATGGTGGTGTGCACCAGGGATTCAGGGGTCAGGGGGGTAGACCCACATCTGAGGGATGCGGTGAGCATTGTGCAGGGGAAGGGCATAGCTCTAACCCTTGCTAGGGTGAAGAAAAAAATGCAACCAAAATATGTGTACTCTCATATTTCTGAAAAAAAAAAAACAACAAAAAAAAACACCACTATGAGATGCCACATCACCCCCACCAGGGTGGGTAGAAAGAGAAAGTCAGGTAAGTGCTCGAGAGAGTGTGGAGAAGCTGGCAGCCTCACGCACTGCTGGCGGGAATGGAAATGGCTGTTTGGGAAACAGTCTGGAAGTTCCTCACATCATTCAATGGACTTGGCCTATGATCCAGCAATCCCCTCCTAGATACATACTCAAGAGGAATGAAAACTTGTGTCCACACAGAAACCTGTATGCAAAGGTTCATGGCAGCATTATTCGTAATAGCCAAAAGCTGGAAACACCCACACGTCCACCAACTGAGGAATGGGTGAACAACACGCGCTGTGTCCACACAACATAGCACTGTTCAGCCATAATTAGTGATGACCTAATAACACCTGCCACGCAGGGATGGACCTGAAAACACTACTCTAAGGGAGGAAAGCCAGAAACAAAAGACCACATGTGCATCCTTCTTATGGAATGCTCAGAACAGGGAATGGACAGACAGAGAGTGGATTAGTCATTGCTCAGGGCTGGGGGAAGGAAAACAGTAAATGACCTAGGGGGCATTAAGTGTAAGTAGTAGAAAAAGCATTATAAACCCACTATTAACAAGTACAAAACTATACTAGGGCACATCATAATCGAATTTCTCAGAGGTGATAAAAAGAAAATCTTCAAAGAACCAGAGGGAGGCCAGGCATGGTGACTCACATCTATAATCCTAGCACCCTGGCAGGTCAAGGAGGGAGGACTACTTGGGGTCAGGAGTTTGATATCAGCCTAAGCAGAAGAAAGACTCCATCTCTATAAAACAAATCAGCTGGGTTTGACAGCATGCGCCTGTACTCCCAGCTACTCAGGAGGCTTAGGCTGGAGGATCACTTGAGCCCAGGAATTTGAGCTTGCTATGAGCTAGGATGACACCACTGCACTGTAGGCAGGGTGACAGAGTTGGGGGCTGCTTCACCTACCCTTGCCGCTGGTTCCCAGACTGCTCGGGAGGTCTCGGCTTCCAGTTCTCCTCTGTAACCTCCTCCCATGGAGTCTCCCATAGTGTCTGGTACGCCTCCTTCTGACTAAGCCAAATGAGAAGAAGCCAAATGAGAAAAAAATGATATGTTCCATACAGAAGAATAAAGATAAGGATGACAGTGGATTTCTCAGTGAAACAATGCAAGTGAGAAGCCAGTGGAGCAACATATTTAAAGTATCAAAAGAAAAAATGTCAAACTATAATTAAAAACTAAGCCAAAGTTTATTGCAAAATAAAGGTGCAGAAAAAACAAAAATGAATGAGGACAAGCTGAAAAACAGGTTATTATCAGCAAATCCATACTGTAAGATATGGTAAAGAGAGCCCTTCAGGTAGAAGAAAAATGATCTCAAATGGAATGACAGATCTAAGGAGCATTGGAAATGAATATGACATGAGCATATGTACAAATCTTTTGTTATTTAATTCTTTTAAAAGCATAATTGACTATTTAAATGAAACTAATAACAATATAGTATTAGGTATGTTTCTAAAATTGAAATTATAGGGGGCGGAGCAAGATTGCGGACAAGAAACACTGCCAGACACAGTGTCGCTGTAAAAAAGTCTGTATATAGAAGAAATCAGAAGTAAGAAGCAAGCAGACGAGCATACATCCACCAAGGGTCAGAAGGAGGGGTACCAGACACTATGGGAGACTCCACGGGAGGAGGTTACAGAGGAGAACTGGAAGCAGAGACTTCCCGAGCAGTCTGGGGACCAGCGGCAAGGGTAGGTGCAGCGCTTAACTTTCCCCTCCCTTGCATCTCGGACTGCTGGTGGACTCTCCAGTGGGAGGACAGACCTGCGGACACCAGGCCAGAGACGGCCACCACCAGTGAACTACCAAACTCCCAACTCCTGCGGAGCACCTCCTTGTGCACAGACCCAAGGCATGCGGCAGGCGCCATATTGCTCCGTTCTCTCTTCCCATGACCCTAACCAGGGCACCAAGAGAGACTATATAGCCACCAGCCAGAGGCATCACCTGGAAACATGACCTTCCCTTTTGGGGCCTTTCAGCTGACTGAGGAGTACTCAGACTGTGAGCTCCCTACCCACCAGCCCTCCCAGGTGCTGCTGGCCTGGTGACTCCAAGAGAACAGGGCAGACCCTGAGGCTGAGAGACACAGACCCAGCTTGGGCTTCCTAGGGGTGAATTGGGACTGGCACTCCTCTCCCTGGTGGGGATATAGTTTGAACTCTGGGGCCCAGAGGTGAGACCTGCGGACCAGATCTCGTGCACCGAGGTCTCGCATTGCCCAGGGCACAGAGGGGATATTCATGAACAGCTTACTGAGGTGTGTGTGCCCTAAAGGGCAGATCAGCATCCAAGAGGGCAACCCTCCTCCCAAAGGGAGTCCACGCGCCCGGCCCAGGCGGTGATCCTGCGCAGTGAACCTCCTGGCCCGCATCACAGCCAGGGGAGACATGGTAGCTTGAGGTCTGGCCTGCTGGTAGAGGCCTAAGAGAACCCGCGGAATTGGGAAGGGCAGAAAGGAGTGAGGCCTGTTCTAGACTGCAGGTCTCAGACAGCCCCACCCCCACATGCAGACTATCTGACTGAGTGGGGGCATTCCAGCCCCTCCCTGACACTTTTTCTGGAAGCACAGAACAGAACTTTGACTCCTGTTAACAACATCGGTGGTGGCTGAGGGCAGGCTTACTCAACCCAGATCTGCCCAGACTCACTCCCCAACCAGCCCTCACTGAGGGGGAGAATAAGGATGCACCTGGTAGTCCCAGGGCCCCACTCACCACCTGAGGCAATAGAGTGCCTCTCCAGAGGAACAAGAACTGGTTACAGGACCCAAAACCAACAGCGTAGCCTATTCCTTAAAGTATGCGCCACCTACTGACAGGGAGGACATTGTGCACATCCTTTTCACAGCACCTACTGACTCATCATACAGACTATGGTTGACTCTCACCCACAAACACCACCTACTGGCTCAGAGACTAAACAGGGTGTGTCATTCCCCAAATGAAAACCTAAAGGAAAGAAGCAACAACTGATCAAGATGGGAAGAAATCAGCAAAGGAACTCTGGAAATATGAAAACTCAAACAGAATGCACACCCACAAAGAGGAACACCAACCCCTTAGAAATGGACACCAACCAAAATCAGACCACTAAAATGACAGAAAAATTACAAGTATGGATCATAAGAAAATTCAATGAGTTGCAAGAAAAACTGCATAATCAACACAAAGAAAACTCAAAAAGACTCCAGAACCTGGAATAAAAATTCACTAAAGAAATTGATACAATGAATAAAAGTCCAACAGAACTCCTAGAAATGAAGAATCAATTCAAGGAACTACAAAACACAATGGAAAACCTCAAAAACAGGGTAGATCAAACAGAAGAAAGAATCTCAGAGATCAAAGATAACACTTTCCAATTAAATAAATCAGTCACAGAGATAGAGCAGAGAAACAAGAGAAAAGAGCAAAGCCTACAAGCGATGCAGGATTATGTGAAGAAACGTAATGTGAGGGTCATACGGTTGCCAGAAGGGGAAGAAGACAACACTCAAGGGTTGGACAAGCTATTCGAAGATATAATAGAGGAAAATTTCCCAGGCCTTGCTAAAAATCTTGATATACAAGTTCAAGAAGCTCAGAGGACCCCTGGGAGATTCAATGCCAACAGAAAGACATCATGACATGCAGTCATCAGATTGACCAAAATATCAACTAAAAGGCCCTTCTATGAGCTATACGGCAAAAGAAGCAAGTTACATACAAAGGAAAGCCAATCCAAATATCACAAGACTTCGCTACTGAAACTTTACAAGCAAGGAGAGACTGGGGCCCCATTCTCACTCTTTTGAAACAGAATAACACCCAGCCTAGAATCTTATTCCCTGCAAAACTAAGTTTTGTATAAGAAGGAGAAACTAAGACATTCTCAGATAAGCAAAGACTGAGGGAATTCACCAAAACAAGACAAGCTCTTCAAGAAGTACGCAAAACAGTGTTATACGTGGATCAGCACAATAAACACTCACGAATGTAAACCTACTAAAAGCTAAGGATCAAAGCCCAGAAACCAAATGGCTCAAGACAGAAAACAAAGCAACAAAGTTCAACCCAACATAATGAACAGAAATCTGCCCCACCTATCAGTTATCTCAATAAATGTGAATGGCTTGAACTCCCCACTCAAGAGACATAGACTGGCCGAATGGATAAAAAAACACAAGCAAAGTGTCTGCTGCCTTCAGGAAACACATCTAACCTGCAAGGATGCATATAGACTAAAGGTAAAGGGGTGGAGAACAATATTTCAAGCAAACAGAAGCCAAAAGAAAGCTGGCATGGCAGTGCTGATTACAGATAACTTAGTTTTTAAATCAATAAAAGTAATAAAAGACAAAGAAGGTCACTATATAATGGTGAAGGGTACAGTTCAACAAGAAGACATAACAATTCTAAAAATATATGCACCCAACTATGCTGCACCCGGATTCATGAGGCAAACTCTACTTGATCTAAACAAATGGATAAACAACACCACCATAATAGTGGGAGAATTTAACGCCCCATTGACAGCACAGGACAGACCCTCCAAACAAAAAAACAACAAAGGAACAATGGACTTAAGCAGAACTCTAGAACAAATGGGCCTGACTGACATTTACAGGACATTCTACCCCAAAACCACTGAATATATGTTCTTCTCATCAGCTCATGGGTCATTCTCAATGATTGACCATATCCTAGGACACAAAGTATGTTTCAAACAATTTTAAAAAATAGAAATTTTACCATATATCTTTTCAGATAAGAATGTAATAAAAGTAGAAATCAACCCTAACACTCTCATTTCTACACAAAGTCATGGAAAGTAAATAACCTTTTGCTGCATGACCACGTCATAAATGAGGAAATCAAGATGGAAATCAAAACATTCTTTGAACTAAATGACAAAGGAGACACAAGTTATCAAAACCTGTGGGACACAGCTAAAGCAGTCCTGAGAGGAAAGTTTATTTCCATAAAAACCTATATCCAAAACTATAAAAGATCACAAATAGACAACCAAATGAATCATCTC